TCGTACAGTTTCAAGACAAGTCTTGTATGAGACACAGCTGCCTAAATTTCTAAAAAGCGAGCAACTCCGAATTTAAGTGAGGTGCTAGATATCTGCATTTTCCCTTATACGAGAGCGGTCTGCTGAGCACCCATATCTCAAGAAGGAATATTTAGTTGCATTAAAGTTTTAAAATTAAAGTATTTGCCTTAATGCCATTTCACACAAAGAGGTGGAAACATTCATCTGTTCTCACAAGAAGAACGAAAGAGCCGACTAAGTTATTTTTAAACATCAGCACAGTTTAACAGAAACTGTGAAACAAACCGACTTCAAGACTAATTGAAAGGAAATAGCTCTCCAGAAGAAAACGTACTAAACTAACGCAGAAAGATGTAAACCAAGAATAAAGGAGATGCTTTCAGGAAGCATGACCCTGGAATTTGCTGAAGCCCTGCGGTCTACAGCAGTGAAGTTTGTTTTGTCTCAAAGAAAGAAATCTATGTCGAGGTGCAACGATCACAAAAAAAAAAGAGATGATGAAAAGTAAGAGTTCAAAGAAACTGCGTGGAAACGATAGAACACTCAAAAAAATCTTTTAGATTTGGAAAGGAAGGAAGTAACACCATTGCTTGCATTTTGAAAGCACAACTTCAGAGCTGTTGAAACCAACACGTTAAAAAATCAGGCGCTCAGCTCCTGTTCTGTAACAAATATATGGTGGTTGTAATTGCATCCATCTTGTGTCTTTTATTCACTAAGTTGCATGCAATTCTTCAACTCAAATTGTAACGAAACCCTAGACAGCAGTAACAGGGGAACCCCAGCTCATGTAAGCGTACTGCAACTATTATTAAGTGGTCTTCCTTTTATGTCTCCATAAGTTGAGTTGTATTCTTTAGCTACAACATATCCTATTACCCACAGACAAATTGCTGTGAAGCCCACCTACAGCTACAGGCTCAGCGGGAAGCACATTTAATAACCAGCAATTATGCTTACACAAGAAATTTTGCCTTCTCAGCAAAAGGTATACAGAACCTATTTTACTAGAGATGTGACAAACCCACATTTTCAGTAATTCTGTGACACACATGTAATTGGTCTTGGTATTCACTGACCACAGAATTAAATAAATCTTAATGAAAGAAGGAAATCTGGGCAGCGAAATACTATGCCACTATGAGAGAACCACTGGGAAAGATCAGCAGGAGTGAGTTTAAAGTAATATAAGGATGATTGAGAGAGGAGATGCAAACAGCATGCTTTGGGGCTGTGTAAAGATGTCCCCAGCGTATACTTCACATCACAGCTAGACACAAGCTACTCCGATTTTCTTCTCTTCTCATTGAGAAACACCGATACGGGAAAAAAGTAGTATTACTTTTATGTGAGAAGATGTGATCTTTAATATCAATAAATTGTAAAAGAATTTTTTTAAAAGACATCTCAGCAACTGCCCAGGAGTTGCAGTATTTGGAAAAAAAACCTCACTGAACTTATAATGGATTTTACTCTTAAAGGTTAACAACATACAGTAAACATCCCTGCAGGTCTGCAGCACAGGCAGTGTGAAGTGATTACTGGTGCATCACTTAATTGATTAAACAAGTTAGGAAGCCTTTAACTAGTAACTAGAAGACACGTGATAGCTTTATAATTTAAACTCTTCAGAGCATTTGCAAAGTGTTAATTACATTTAAAAAAAAAAAAAAAGGCAACTGAGCAACTGCTTTGTTTCAGAGTTTCATCTGTAAAGCCCACCATCCCTGAGGCAAGGCCCAGGAGTTAGAACTGCTGATGTAGAGACAGGAGAAACAAAACTCCTAATAAAGACTGATTAGGAACTTCTTGCTTCAGCTGAATATCATGGTCCTATGTAACTGGAGTAAAAGTAACACAGCAGGATTTCACACCATCAGATTTAAAAAGCCTCCTTGCGAGACAGATTTTAAAGTTTTGTTCACTACCCGACAATTAAAATTGCAAGTTGTCTCTGGAGCAGGAAGTGTGTTTGCTGTTCTTGTAATACTAATTTTGTTAACAGAAGAGAGACCAGATGCAAAGCTTTCACAAGAAAAGATCCTCCAGTGTAGACTGATATCACATTACAAGTCATAATCCAACCAAATCCTCTCAGCAATGGTACCTGAATGTTTTTATGAGGGGAGGAGCGAGAATGTGTTTGGAAAAGCATATCCAAGCCTACCAGAGCGAGTTCTTGTCACCCACCTTGTCTCAATGAGGTAAGCAGTGTAGGTTTCTTGCATGTTCATGGCATTTCTCCCAGTCCGTTTTTCCGCTTCCGAAACGGTGATTTCTATTTTTTTTGATAAACAGTCGTCCATCTTGTTAAAAGAGGAAAATAAAGATTTGTGTGATGTTACTCAGGCAAGGCAAAGGCTACCAACTCTGCCACCCCTTCTCCCTCCCCACTCTAACATTCAAGTAAGACAGGTAAAGGCTTTCACAAATCTTAACTTCACACCTGTGTTCTGTATTACATTTGAAAATGAAAACAGAAAACCCTGCTTTGGGGGGCAAAAAAAAAAAAAAAAAGGAAATATCAACAAACAAGCATTTTCTCTTACCAGAGACTGCCATTAGGTGAGAAAAAGAAAGCAATAAAAGGAAAGAGACAGTTCTCTTTACAGGTATCAAACTAACTAACTTTTTTTTTTTTTCAAAAGTGTTTTCTGCCCAGCCGCTTCTCAGCTATCAGTGAACTCACCCTCAAAACACCCAGGAAGCCTGTAACCACTATTTCCTTTTTAAAGCAAAGGGAACACAGCCCAAAGACACCGTTACCTAGAGGGAGACCCTTTATCTCCAAGAGGCGAATTACGCACACACACACATTTTATATAGGTGTGTGTATATGTGTATATACAAACACACACACATAATATATATATACACACACACATATATAATATATATACACACACATTAAAAATATATATATGTGAGAGACACAGTGGCTGCCAGAAGCCCACCCGACCCCCGGCGCCCCCCTGCGAGGGCAGCACCCCAGCACCAGGGGAGCCTTTCAC